ACCACTACTGGTACTTGGACTGGTGCTAATGCTACCACCTACACTAACCCTGTATCTGGTGCCAGTGATACCAGAACTGTTGTTATTGACGTCCCAGTACCAACTACTACTGTTACTTCTTACTACAGTGGATCAGTTGAAAGTACTACTACCGTTACTATGCCACCAGGTGAGACTGCTACTGTTATCATAGAGATTCCATCCCCTGTCAGCAGTGAATCCTCAGAATCATCTAGTGAGTCATCGAGTGAATCTTCTGTTGAATCCAGTGAATCCTCTAGTGAGTCTTCTGTTGAATCAAGTGAATCTTCAGAATCCTCCAGTGAATCCAGTAAATCAAGTGAATCCAGTGAATCCAGTGAATCAAGTGAATCAAGTGAATCCAGTGAATCCAGTGAATCCAGTGAGTCGTCTGTGGAATCAAGTGAATCAAGCGAATCTTCTGTTGAATCAAGCGAATCCTCAGAATCTTCTACTGAATCAAGCGAATCTTCAGAATCTTCTACTGAATCTTCAGAATCATCTACCGAGTCTTCAGAATCTTCAAGTGAATCTTCAGAAGCAAGCGAATCCGATTCTAGCTCAAGTTACTCTTTCCCAACACTTTCAGTTTCATCATTCTCAGAATCTTCAATTTATTCATCTTCATCATATTTCCCACCATATGCTAACTCATCAGTTCCATCAATCCCATCATCAACTGAATGTCCTGAGTGTTCTTCAACTGAAAGCTCAGAATCAAGTGACTTGACTTCTTTGGCTGGTGATTCTAGTGTTTATTCTGAAAGTTTAAGCTCCAGTGAAGCCTCCATTACAAGCTTTGTATCTTCCAGTGAATCATCTGAATCAAGTGAAGTTTCTGAATCCAGTGAAGTTTCTGAATCCAGTGAATTTTCAAGTGAAGTCAGTTCTACCGAAGTCTCATCTAGTGAAGACTCCAGCTCCAGTGAAGTTTCATCTACTGAATCTTCAGAATCTTCAAGTGAATCATCTAGTGAATCATCAACTGAATCCTCAGTATCTTCAGAATCTTCAGAATCCTCAAGTGAATCTAGTGAATCTAGTGAATCTGTCGAATCTTCAGGATCATCAAGTGAATCATCAAGTGAATCCTCATCTGTTGAATCCTCATCTGTTGAATCCTCATCTGTTGAGTCTTCAAGTGAATCATCAAGTGAATCATCTGTTGAGTCTTCAAGTGACTCATCAAGTGAATCATCAAGTGAATCATCAAGTGAATCATCAAGTGAATCATCAAGTGAATCATCAAGTGAATCATCATCAACTGAAGCCTCATCTAGTGAATCATCAACCGAATCAACTGAATCATCAACTGAATCCTCATCTAGTGAAGTCATTTCAAGTGCCTCAAGTGAAGCTACTAGCCAAATCACTTCTAGTGCTGATGTATCAAGTGCTGAATCTAGTGAAGCTTCTTCAACTGAATCAATCACTTCCAGTATTGCTTCAACCGAATCTTCTACTGAATGTCCTGAATGTACTTCAAGCTCAGAATCATTTATTCCATCCACTTCATTAGCTGGTGACTCAAGTATTTTCATTGGATCTTCCACTGATGGTGCTAGTCAAACTTCTGGTGTAAGTAGCGATGCTTCTGTCACTAGTTCTGCTAGTGAAGGGTCATTAACTGATTCTTCTTCAACCGCTACAATTGACTCAGCTTCTAGTTCAGATACAGCTTCTTCAGAAGCTTCAATTGGTTCAACTACTCAAGCTTCTTTGACTAGTGTTTCAAGTGTGGATTCTGCTTCTGTTACTAATACTAATACTGTTAATACTGATTCAGCTAGTGCTACCGGTACTAACACTGACAACACTAATACAGCTACTGGTTCTAATACTGCTACTGGTTCCAACACTGCTACTGGTACCGATAACACTAATACTGCTACTGGTACTAACACTGGTAACACCAACACTGCTACCGGTACTAACACTGACAACACTAATACAGCTACTGGTTCTAATACTGCTACTGGTTCCAACACTGCTACTG